GGCCAGGCTCGGGGGAGTAGAAGAACTCCCGAAACCCTCACCAGGTAAACTCCAGGCAAACCATCACTCACCAACCATCACGTGCCCTACCACCACCACCATCACCCACTACCATTACCAACTACCACCCCACCAACAACCCCAACCTCTGCTATCATTAAGCATTCAGGAGTAAACCATGTCTTCGACAGGTTCCAGCTTTTTGGGGGCACCAAGAAGACTAGCGAGCCGTCCAGTAGTGAAGCCGCTTTGGCCATCTCTCCCAAGAGGGACAAAGGTATGTGAGACCTTGAATGCAGAAGCATCTTCGCTCTCTTGAAGGTTCCTGTATAATCTCTGACCCTATTAAAAGCTTCTCTGTTATTTTTGGCTTTGTTAAAGGCGTCTATCTGGGGCCAGATTCACGAAGCAGTTACGCAAATACTTACGAACCTGGGGCCAGTTTCACGAAGCAGTTACGCAAATACTTACGAACCTGGGGCCAGATTCACGAAGCAGTTACGCAAGTACTTACGAACCTGTACAACTTTTCTCAATCTTTAACGGCTTTGGTTACATTTATTAAACAGTTTACAAGCATGAAAACTTTCCAATCAACTGTTGTTATTGTTATAAACAGCCTCCTGGTGCTTCGGAGCTCATTAACTGTTTAATAATTGTAAACAAAGCCGCCAAAGATTGAGAAAAGATGTATAGGTTCGTAGGTGCTTGCGAAGCTGCTTCGTGAATCTGGCCCCAGGTTAGTGAGTGCTTACGAAACTGCTTCGTGACTCTGACCCCAGGTTCGTAAGTGCTTGCGAAACTGCTTCGTAAATCTAGCCCCTGGTCTACAGAGGGCTTCCGTGGTATTTGTCGTTCCATTAAATATTTGTTTATTGTTAAACTGAACCAATGCGTTGTTGGTCCCTTCTACATTGCAAGAAGGTCAGGAATCAAGTTCATAAGGTCACAGATCGCTAACTTTTATTTTATTTGCTCCTGGCTCTTGCTGTTTGGGACCCCCAACATTGAGCAATTTTCCCAGGCAACAAAAATATACATTTTATGCAGTAAAGTTTGAGAATAGAGCAAGTTAGGGAAGAAAAGTAGCTGCTTCACTGGAAGACTTTGTTAGTAATACTTAAGACGAGAGGGAGGATGGTCAGAGTGCTACATGGAGGTGTGTACCGTTGTGTACAGGTGTAGGGTACAGGTGTGGTACGAAAGAGTGGTTATCTTGAGGTTATCTTGAGATGATTTCGGGGCTTTAGTGTCCCCGCGGCCCGGTCCTCGACCAGGCCTCCACCCCCAGGAAGCAGCCCGTGACAGCTGACTAACACCCAGGTACCTATTTTACTGCTAGGTAACAGGGGCATAGGGTGAAAGAAACTCTGCCCATTGTTTCTCGCCGGCGCTTGGGATCGAACCCAGGACCACAGGATCACAAGTCCCGCGTGCTGTCCGCTCGGCCGACCGGCTCCCCAATGTGGTACGGAAAACCGTTTTGTACCGTGCGAAACACAGGTGTTCCGTGGGCATGACAAATATAGACAGGTGTAAAAATGAATTCACCTGCAATATATTGTTTGATGATTAAGGGATGACAAAGGAAATACAAATATCATGGGAAAAAGAAACAGAGTAACACTAATAGTTAACATATAGATAATTAACGTTAGTGAAATCATTTGGTCATTTTTAATTATTTGAGTTTATAGATCCAGTGTATGTTGTGTTACATTTGTAAAGCACTTCTATACGAAGCTTTATCAACCATTCCATTCAAAATATATATTTTTTTTTTTTTATATATATACAAGAGTTGTTACATTCTTGTACAGCCACTAGTACGCGTAGCGTTTCGGGCAAGTCCTTAATCCTACGGTCCCTGGAATACGATCCCCTGCCGCGAAGAATCGTTTTTTCATCCAAGTACACATTTTACTGTTGCGTTAAACAGAGGCTACAGTTAAGGAATTGCGCCCAGTAAATCCTCCCCGGCCAGGATACGAACCCATGACATAGCGCTCGCGGAACGCCAGGCGAGTGTCTTACCACTACACCACGGAGACTGCTGATCTGTATAATATATGATCTGGACAATGGTGATACTTTTCTGTACTCTGCTTTCACTCTTTGGTCTCCTGCCTATTCCGGTGTGATATCTGCCCATCCCATTGAAACAGGAAAAGGAGACGTAGTGTTTACATGATAATAGATGATATATAGGGACACCTTCTGTGGGGGAATTACCTGTGTTTATATCCAGGGTTGTTGTTGTTGTGAAGGATGGTTGTGATTATCTGCCATTTTGTCCTTTGGTTCCTCTCCATGTTGTAGTTGTTATAGTGTTTTTACTTGTTACAAAACATGTAAGTTGTCATATGTGCAGAAGTGCATGCTATTGTATATACAAAAATGTACGTTGTTGTGTATATATAAAAATGTCTGTTATGGTATGTTCAAAAATGAATGTTGTCTTGAATATAAAAACGTGTCGACCTTTGATGTTAGCTCAGGCGTCTGTGAGACAGGAATGTCAGGCGTCTGTGAGACAGGAATGTCAGGCGTCTGTGAGACAGGAATGTCAGGCGTCTGTGAGACAGGAATGTCACGAGTCTGTGAGACAGGAATGTCAGGCGTCTGTGAGACAGGAATGTCACGAGTCTGTGAGACAGAAATGTCAGGCGTCTGTGAGACAGAAATGTCAGGCGTCTATGAGACAGGAATGTCACGAGTCTGTGAGACAGGAATGTCACGAGTCTGTGAGACAGGAATGTCAGGCGTCTGTGAGACAGGAATGTCACGAGTCTGTGAGACAGAAATGTCAGGCGTCTGTGAGACAGAAATGTCAGGCGTCTATGAGACAGGAATGTCACGAGTCTGTGAGACAGGAATGTCACGAGTCTGTGAGACAGGAATGTCACGAGTCTGTGAGACAGGAATGTCACGAGTCTGTGAGACAGGAATGTCACGAGTCTGTGAGACAGAAATGTCAGGCGTCTGTGAGACAGGAATGTCAGGCGTCTGTGAGACAGAAATGTCAGGCGTCTGTGAGACAGGAATGTCAGGCGTCTGTGAGACAGGAATGTCACGAGTCTGTGAGACAGGAATGTCACGAGTCTGAGACAGAAATGTCAGGCGTCTGTGAGACAGGAATGTCAGGCGTCTGTGAGACAGGAATGTCAGGCGTCTGTGAGACAGGAATGTCACGAGTCTGTGAGACAGAAATGTCAGGCGTCTGTGAGACAGAAATGTCAGGCGTCTATGAGACAGAAATGACCAAGCCATTACGACTATATAGCACTGGTCAGGATAAGGATTTGCGATGGGACGGAGGGACGGAATGGTGCCCAACCACTTGTGGACAGTCGGGGATTGAACGCTGACCTGCGCAGGGAAAGGAGTTTCCTTTTGAAACCGATTTGGCACACATGTTGTCGACAGCAATTTGATTTAATATTCTTAAAAAAGTATCCAAAGCCTTGTAGCATCAGGAAACACTCTTTCTTGCCACCATGAAGATCTGAAGACTTTTCTTGCTCCAACAGGCAGACGGGTTTTCTTCGGGCGAGGCAGAGAGAACTTTGTTGGCCGAAACCCCTGCATCTCCCACGAGTCTGACCCACAGGTGAAGGCTGCCCGCTATTTTAGTAGTATATTTTACGCTTATCTTACGAAACCTGTACCTCTTTCAACTATCATGGCGGCTTTGTTTACAATTATCAAGAGTGGACGATTTTAGAAACCTCGTCACAACCCAAGGTTATTATTGTTATATGTAAACAACCTCGTAGGGCTTCAGGGCTCATAAGCTTTTTGATAAATGTAAACAATGCAGCAATGCAGGCGAAGAGCCACAATAACGTGACTGAAGTATGTTGACCAGACCACACACTAGAAAGTGAAGGGACGACGACGTTTCGGTCCGTCCTGGACCATTCTCAAGTCGATTGTGACTTGAATCGACTTGAGAATGGTCCAGGACGGACCGAAACGTCGTCGTCCCTTCACCTTCTAGTGTGTGGTCTGGTCAATAAATGTAAACAGTGCTTAACTAATCCTGGGGTTGTTTCAGTGCTTCTGCCTCGTTAATTATGTGACGTGAGACGTCTTATATTAATTCCTAAATGTATTTGTATGTGTTTCTTCCCGCCTTACTGTGATGATAATTTAATTTTGAAAGCATGTGTGTACTCATTCAGTTCTCAAGCACTAAAATCACCTACAATAAACACTGTTTCACCTGAGAGTTTGTCTGCCGCGGGGGAGTATGTTTGTCCCTGTGACAGTTTGCCGCGGGGGAGTCCCTCGTGGGGGGGAGGGCTCTCCCCCAGGAAAAACTTGTCTATCTCCATGAATCTGCATTTTGTCTCCTATCCCTCCCTCCCCCATCCTCCACGGTCAGGGAGAACTGTCCTGTTTGCAACATTCGAATGTTTGCTGAATGTTTGACCAAATTTTAAGTTTTCATATTTAACAGTTTATTGCATATGTTGCATGTTGTGCCTGCATACTGCACTGCTTTATGTAACAATATTTGTGTATCCTTGTCGGAAGGTTTACCTCTTATTTAAACAATAAAAATGACCTAGAAATTTTGGTGTAATGCTTACACAAGTCTTCAGGGTTGTTGAAAGCCTTTGCATGAGCGAAAATTTTGGAGCAGTATCCCCTTAACTATTCCTTAGCCATAAGTATTTGTTATATAGAATATGATTCAATCGGACAATTGAGGAGACCTTGAACAAGCCGCCGGCTTCCTGTCATCGTCGAGGCCAGTACAGTGTTGTGGCCCTCAGGTAAACTCGGGTAAATCATACAAGTGACGACAATTTATGAACATAAGAACAAAGGTAACTGCAGAAGGCGTATTGGCCCATACGAGGCAGCTCCTATTTATAACCACCCAATCCCACTCATACACATGTCCAACCCACGCTTGAAACAATTTCTCCTTCACAGGTGGCCAGGATGACGGGCGAGTCCTTTGAGCAGGAATCAATCGACCTGGAAGGAGAAACCGAAGTGCTGTGAGCTGGTGGCTGATCGCGCGCCTGCGTAAACGTGAAGATAGGGATTGGAACGCAGCGACTCCGTCTTCTGCAGCGAAAAATGGGGCGCTGGCTACATTTTCTGCAGTTAGGGGTTGCGACGACTCCGTTTTCTGTAGCGAAAATGGGGCGCTGGCTCCATTTTCTGCAGTTAGGGGTTGCGACGACTCCGTTTTCTGCAGCGAAAAATGATGCACTGGCTCCATTTTCTGCAGTTAGGGATTGCGACGACTCTGTTTTCTGTAGCGATAAATAGGGTGCTGGCTCCATTTTCTGCAGTTAAGGGTTGCGACGACTCCGTTTTCTGCATGAGAATGGATGCCATTGTTCTGTTTTCCCGCGATCAAAATTGGATGATGCTAATTGTATCATCCAATTGATGCTGCAATTGGATGATGCAATATTGCAAAAAAATGCAATTTAAAAACTGCATTTTTTTTTCTGTGATGGAAAAGGAATTCACGAACGTTGCTGTGATAAAATAAAAAGGTAAAACCAAAACAGACGAGGTTGCCAGAAAGCAAAAGACAATTGCTTTCCAAAAGTACTGAAAATATACAATAAAACTCGCAGATACCAGAACATATTAATGTGGTGAAAAAAGTAGACAAATTGGATTAAAATTTACAAGTAGAATGAAACCTCGGACACACAAGGGTAGATTAGAGGCCACAAATATTCTACCGGAGACGGGAGACATCTCCCGTCACGCAGGGTGCAGTCGCACCTCCACAGATCTCCAGTATCAGCTCTTGATACTGGTAATGGCTCAAAAGGGCCACCACTTACGGGCTATTCATGCCCGTGCCACCTTTTGGATGGCTTAATCTTCATCAATCAATCTTTTCTACTGGAGGAACAAGACATAAATGTAGGAGTGATTCTCACGACACACAGACAGACCACTCCTCGTCGCCTGTCTATGCAATATCTTCGAGTAAAACTGATGAATAGCTATATGGATAAGCATCAATAAAGTGCCTATTATATAAATGGTAAATATCCCTCAACTAACCATTTGCAGTCATGAAAAGTTATCAAGTAGTTGCAGACGATTCACAATAACGTGGCTAAAATATGTTGACCAAACTACACTCTAGAAAGTGAAGGGACGACGACGTTTCGGTCCGTCCTGGACCATTCTCAAGTCCATTGTTTTCAACTTTCAAGTCGAAGTCACTCTCAAGTCACAGTCGACTTGAGAATGGTCCAGGACGGACCGAAACGTCGTCGTCCCTTCACATTCTAGTGTGTGGTCTGGTCAATATCAAATAGTTATAAATAAATTGGTAATTATTTCTTGTGTGAGTCACACAAAAATACCTGTCGCCGTCAAGGATAACACGACACTGTGCACCGTCAAATAAATCTGTAGTCGTTAAGAATAACACGACACTGCATCACGACCAAATAGACCTGTCGTCGTCAAGGATAACACGACAGATCAACAATACAAAATAAAATTCAAGAGACACATCCTATGGGAGAAGTGGAAAGACGGATATAGATCTATCCTGACTGAGGAAGACCTACATGTCTGTACCTATGGGCTCACGTAGAAAACCATTGTCAGTATATTGCGTATTTCATCAGAATGATGAGAGATGGAAGCGTCCCTCTCTACACCTTGACTGCACCTTCAAGAAACACTGGCATCTAGTCCATCCTCAGCCGCAAACTCGCCACGATGTTGTAAATTCCTTACTACCAGCGATGTAATATTTTCGCAGCACGTCTGGAGACAGCAAACCTCCTTACTAATGGAATTCTCCATTGGTACCTCGATAATCACACACACGGAATAATCACTTTACTGTTTTATATCTTTAAGTATGAGAAAATGTTTAGGAGCAATACGGTGGGATCGAACACACGTCTGGAGGTTCCCCCAGACACTACCGTTACAATAACGGTAGTATCCTTATAAGGTTCTTAGTATCGTAGCTAGTATATAGTTATACATGATCACCTTCACCGACATATTTTCATACCTTGTTAAGGCATTTAATTGTAAACTTGTACAGAATGTTTTAAATTTTTCTCGAGATGACATTTTGCTGTAATATTGTTCATAGTTTGTGATGACGTCTTGTGTTAAGCGCGAGGGTGGGGGGAGGGAGGGGGTTATCAGGGGGAAAGCGCCAAGCCATTACGACTATATAGCACTGGGAAGGGGTCAGGATACGGATTTGGGATGGGACGGGGGAGAAAGGAATGGTGCCCAACCACTTGTGAACGGTCGGAGATGAAAGGGAAACCCTTTTGGAAGGGTAAACATAGACCCGTACTATTGGGTAAGTTATCAGGATGTGAAGGATTATACACGGCCAGGCTGCTTGCTGTGTTTACATACTTCAGTATATTTAACTACACTTTGGAAGGTGTATCGACACTTTCCTTGGCCTCTTGTGGCATCTTCGTGAGACACTCGCTTATATTTCCGTGTTTTAAACTTTTCTCATCAGATAAAAAAATCTATTTTTCAAACCTTTTATAATATATTAAAAGCTATATATATATCCATGTTAAAAGTGTGTTTCCTGTCTTAAATACATTTCTAATACGTCATTCCTTTGTTGTATTGAAGCCCTCGCCTTGTTAGGTTCCCTACATTTAACTTATTATCTTAGTCAGAATGTAATATTCTCTTTTAATAAACACAATATCTAGCATATTTTAATATTTAATTAAAGTTATTAATGTATTCCCGTTAATTCGTAAATAAATCTAATTGTATTTGTTTGTCATATGTCATGTTAGGAAACCTAAAGACAGGCATCTTACATTGATCATTTATCATGTTCTCCAAGTAACTGTGTTTACAAACAATCCAGGTAACTGTGTTTACAAACAATCCAGGTAACTGTGTTTACAAACAATCCAGGTATATGTTTACAAACGAATCTTATCATGTTGACTGTTTCAGCTGGCCTGCAGGCCCAATTTCTTATGGAAGACATTTTTTTATCAATTTTACAATATAGAAATCACGTTGTTATTAATAAATATCCTCAAATCATTGTTGTGTTCTGTTTTCATGTTATCCTCAAGTAGATTTCAGATTTATTTTTGTCAATACGAATGTTATCGGGTCGCACATGCAAATTTAAGTACAAGTGCCCTTCAGATTTATGTTCCAGTATTGTATATTTATACACCAATTCCGGCAATAATGCTGGATATATATTGGGAGTTCCATCAGGAAATTTAATATCAGGATTTTGGATTATAAAGGGTATCGTTTAATTAAGACCGGGTTGCTCATGTCTAAGCCAACATTTTCTGAATTCAGGGATAACTCTTGTACCTGGAGAAGGGTTGTGGGCGTTCTTCTCCTCCTCCGAGTCCGGGCCTCGCCCCAGGGTTGTAAAATGGACCACCCGTTTTATGCATAAAAATATAAAGTTTTGGATACATGTAGCAGCGGCCCGTTTGACTTGAAGACAGTGGAGACTTTGCATATCATAGGGCTATACGGCCTTAGTTAAACAACAATATCTCGGCGGTGTAACTGTATACTGTTTAGAGGTTATCAAATTCCCTTAGTTTTCCCTTCCTGTTTTAGGATTTTTTTCCCCAGAAATTAATTTTGCGTGTGATGTATTTTTATTTTATTTTGTTCTCGTTAACTGTCAAAAATAAAATTTGGCTTTATATTGTTTTTTATATTTAAATTATTAATTATTTAATAAGAGTTTATATTTTGTAAAAACTCTAGAATCATTATAGTTTGCAGCTTTAACTTCTAATAAGAATTTCTGGTTTCGCTTAGGTTTATCAATTTCCATTTTAGTTCACCAATAATGTAAGTAAATTTTCTAATTTTCTTTGATTAATTTGTAACACTTTCTTTTATATTGACTTTAGAGCAGGCGCACGGCATTGGCCGCGTCTGTCTGTCTCTCACCTGTTCATTTTTTCAGTCAGTCTACCCATCTATGCGTTTATGTATTCATCTACTCCTCTATGCATCCATTCATTAATCTACTTATCTATCACTCCATCTATTCAACTATCTATCCTTCTCGGTAACGGTAATATGCACACAAAATTCATTGATTTTTAAGAAAATGAACAAGTTTCCCGCTATTTATAATTTGCCCGTACTTGCATAAAACAAGCCTCTCACAACTTCAAGCTGCGCTTCCTTCTGAGAGGAAAACGATAACTATTATTTTTATATATACAAAAAATACAGTTTAGCAGCAGGATGCTGCTTCTGAGAACTTTCCTTATTAAGACCCCTCAATAGCTCGGTCGATAGAGCTTCGGCCTCACACACGTGGGGTTCACAGTTCGAGCCTCCTAGAGCCCAAAGTAATGGACCATATTCTTTTTAATTGCTCACACTACCCACACGTGAGACAGATTTTTATTAGAGACCGAGACAATAGACGGATTAATGGATGGATAGGTGAGTAGATGGATAGATGTTTGGATAGATTGATGCATGGATGGCCATGTGGATGGATGGATGGACATGTGGATGCATATACGGATATAGTTGCATAGATGAATACGTAGATAAATAGATGGATGGAGGGATATAGATAGTTGCATAGTTAGATGGATGAATACATGAATATATAGATAGCTATATGGATAGATGGCTAGATGTACAGATAGACTGATAGTTGGCTAGATGTACAGATGGATAGACTGATAGATGGCTAGATTGATGAATAGTGATTAAGCAAAAGAAGGGAAACAGCACCGCCGGGTATCCCAACTAGATTTTAAGAGAATGACTGTCCTAATCTAAAAGCCAGATGCTTAAGGTTAGCCTCACCCAAATTGGCAGAGTCAGCTGTAGGGGCTAAACATAAGCTGTTCAGGAGATCACCAACGTGAGAAGGACCAACATGCCACAGTGACACACTGACCCCCACAACCGTTTTTGTCCATGGTTGTCTGATTTTTGTCTTATAATAATACGCATCCTTATCCACTGATGTCTGGAAAATTTC